GTAATAAGAGTGAAACTCTGTCTCAAAAAAAAAAAAATTCCTTTGGTACTCATTGTAATGACATATTATTTATTTCACCACTGGCTGGTATGCTAGATTCTTGTCTATTTAGATGTTTTGACAAAATTCTGCACTAGTCCACAGAAAAACAAGTATATGTGCAATGTGTCACACAAAAGGAAACTCACAACTAAAAGGTGACTGTTGTAGTTTTACACAATAAAGTGTGATTATAACTATTCGTAACACAACCTTCATATTTGAAATATCCCTCAAGTGGTTTTATAAGATATCACAGAAACTAATAATTCAACCTAGATATTCCACAGCATAGCAGACAGCCGAGCTCCCAAGTCTGGACATTCTTCTCAGACTCTCTCAAGCCTCTGCTTCCTATATACTTGCTTTTATTCAACCATTAATTCAAACATCCAAGCAACTTCTATGTGTCAGAAACTGACTCAATACTAGAAAAATGAATAAAACAAGAAAGACTTTGCATTCAAGGAATTCTAAGTCCAGTTAGATAAGACAAATTATAAGTAGTTTATAATAGGAGAGGAAGAACAGCACAGTAGTTAAAGGTTGAGACTGGTCCGAATGACCTAAAAGCTAGCTTTTTTATTTGCTAGCTGTGTGACCTTGGATAATTTTCCTGATTTGCAAAATTGGAATAATGATAAAACTTACTTTCTGAGTTTACTGGGAGATTATGAGAAAACAGTGCATAACATAGTGTAGGCAGAGTAACAGAGTAAGTGCTGTGTGCTCTGTTAGCTGCACTATGGCTAGTAAAGTGCTATTACTGAAATATGACCAAAGTGCTATGGGAGCACAGGAAATAAAGCAATTAGCTATGCCTAGGGAAGATGTCAGAGGTGACATCAAATTGAGTCTGGGATGAGAAGGGATTTGTTAGAGAGAAGAGCATTCTAGACAGGTAAAACCATGCAAATGCAAGAATAATGAAGGAGCCTAAGATTTCCAGGTAACTACAGAAACCACATAATAGCAAGACGATGTGGAAAGATAAAATGAGATGGAGATGTTACAAGGGTACCAGATGGTTAAGAGTTTTACAAGCCAAGTTACTGAGTCTGGATCTTGAGACATCAGGAACCACAGGGAAAGTCACATCTTGGGAGAGATCCAAGGTTCAAATCTGAGTTTACTAAGTGTGTAGCTTCAATTTCTCTAAACTCAGGTTTTTCATCTTTAAAATGGGAGAAGCTGGGTGTGGTGGCTCATACCTGTAATTCCAGCACTTTAGGAGGCCAACGTTGGGAGAACCCCATCTCTACCAAAAATCAAAAAAACCTTTAAGAAAAAAAAAAGGGAGATAACCACTACTTTGTTTGGAGAGTTATCTGGATTAGATAAATATCTCCAAAATGTCATGGCACCAGTCCTGGTATTAATATAGCTGGCAACAAACAGTAGCTGATACTACCCTCACCATATATCACAGTAGTCAACTTTTAAAGGTATAATGTTTAAGAAGAAGCTTATAGTACCCTAACTTAAGAGTGTCCAGTAGAAATACCATTCTCCTCTCCAATCTATTCTTTTACTGGAACAAATGAACAAAATGGACTTTTGTCTTATTTTCTTATCCTTTTTTTTTTGAGACGGAGTTTCGCTCTCGTTACCCAGGCTGGAGTGCAATGGCACAATCTCGGCTCACCGCAGCCTCCGCCTCCTGGGTTCAGGCAATTCTCCTGCCTCAGCCTCCTGAGCAGCTGGGACTACAGGCACGCGCCACCATGCCCAGCTGATTTTTTGTATTTTTAGTAGAGACGGGGTTTTACCATGTTGACCAGGATGGTCTCGATCTCTTAACCTCGTGATCCACCTGCCTCAGCCTCCCAAAGTGCTGGGATTACAGGCGTGAGCCACCGCGCCCGGCTTTCTTATCCTTTTATGATGCCAAGATAATAAACAGGTACTCACTAATGTTTGGAAAACGGAACGGGATTACCTGCTAGACCCACAGACAGTGAAAACGAGCAAGAAGTCATAAATGACCAATTAAACCACTGGTTTAGAATCAATTAAACCAATGGTGGTAAGCCATTGGTTTTTTGTTTTGTTTTTTTAGACAGAGTCTCACTGTGTTACCCAGGCTGGAGTAGGTGGTGCAATCTTGGCTCACACAACAACTTCTGTCTCCTGGGTTCAAGCAATTCTCTTGACTCAGCAGCCTTCCCTCCCCAGTAGGTGGGACTACAGGCATGCGCCACTATGCTTGGCTAATTTTTGCATTTTTAGTAAAGACAGGGTTTTTGCCATGTTGGCCAGTCTGGTCACGAACACCTGACCTCAGGTTATTCACCTACCTCAGCCTCCTAAAGTGCTGGGATTACAGGCATGAACCACCATGCCTAACAACTATTTGTTTTTAATGCTGAGATGTTTCTGAAACAAAATTATAATATTTAATAAGCATATCAACTATTTCCTACCAGTTTTATTAACTGGTACAAAACACTGCCGTGTATTACAGAACAATGTTTTGCATACTGGAGATAATACCAACACTCTATATACCACAATCTATATACCACAGTATATATACCTTAAAGAGAGGCCAATCTATATACCACAGTAAACACAATACTATACAAGGAATCAGCCAGGTGCAATGGCGTGCACCTGTAGTATCAACTACTATGGAAGCAGAGGTGGGAGGATGGTATACACCCAGGAGTTCAAGTCCAGCTTGGGCAATGTAACAAAATTCCATGTCTTTTATTTAAAAAGAAAGAACAAGGGCTGGGCGCGGTGGCTCACCTGAGGTTGGGGGTTCAAGACCAGCCTGACCAACATGGTGAAACCCCCTTTTTTTTTTTAAAAAAAAAAAAGAACAAAAGAAGTCAAAAGATCAAAGTTCAAACTTCAGTTCTGCAGTAGGCAAAATAATTTATCTGGGCCTCAGTTTCCTCATCTACAAAATGGGGTTAGTACCTCTTCTATTTACTTCACTAAATTATTACAAGAGCCAGAAAGAACATCATACAAAAGGCATTTATTAAGCCATGACATTATACAACTATATCATTTTATCATTCTCATAACCAGGTCAGATTATCTTGTAACATCCTGGTGCCTCAGTTCCTTAATTTCCTTTCCTGTAATGATCCTGCTCTCCATTCTGCCTTAACCATGTACTCTCATGGTCATTAACAATAATCTCAACTTGCTTCTATTAATATAACTGCTATATCCAACATTGTGTTCTACAACCACCACCTTCTATCTTTCTAGCTCATTTCCTCCAGTACTCCCACTCTTTCAAGTCTTAAACCCGGTAAGAATCTACAACCCATTTATCCTATCAATTTTTCACCCTCTCACTACCTTCACTGCTGCTCCACCCTCATTACCAAAGTCCTCATTCATGTCTTTACCAAACTTAAAATCACATGGTTCATTATTGCAATCACTCCTTGTATGCATCCTCTACTCCTTTGCCCCTATTCACATGCAATCACACCCTTCAAGATCCAGCTTAAATGCTAACTTCTTCATAAAAGCATGCCCAGGTGGCGAGGTGGCTCATGCCTGTAATCCCAGCACCTTGGGAGGCCAAGGCAGGTGGATCACTTGAGGTAGGAATTTAAGACCAGCCTGACCAACATGGTGAAACCCCATCTCTACTAAAAATACAAAAATTAGCCGGGCATGGTGGTTGGCACCTGTAATCCCAGCTACTCAGATGGCTGAGGCGTGAGAATCATTTGAGCCCAGGAGGTGGACGTTGCAGTGAGGTGACATCATACCACTGCATTTCAGCCTGGGCAACAGAGAAAGACTCTGTCTGAAAAAAAAATTAAAAATTAAAAATAATTTAAAAATCAAAGCATGCCCAATCATCCCACTTTAATGGTTCTTTCCTAGAGTTCTGCATTTATTAACTATACCATTCTTCTGATAATCATGCTGGTCTTATTGAATAACAAACTAAACCTTATTACTTTTATTATCTCTCCAATTAAAGCAAAAACTCCTTGAAACCAAAAACACTTGTTAACCAACTACCCATAAAGAAATACTGATACTATAATACATACTAGTTAGTACAACCACTGTTCAAACACTGTTTTATTTAACTGAGTTTTCAAAAACGAGTCTATATTCTAGAAACTATTCTCAAGGTAAATATACCCCTTGTTATTGCTTGCACAGATAACCTAGCATGATATTAAGCCAATTAAACTTTCAACCACTTTGCCCTTTCTTTAAAGACACCTCAGCCAGGCGCGGTGGCTCACGCCGGTAATCTCAGCACTTTGGGAGGCCAAGGTGGGCAGATCACAAGGTCAATAGTTAAGACCATCCTGGGCAACACGGTGAAACCCCGTCTTTACTAAAAAATACCAAAAAAATTAGCTGGGCATGGTGGCACGCGCCTGTAGTCCCAGCTACTAGGGAGGCTGAGGCAGGAGAATTGCTTTTTGAAACCGGGAGGCGGAGGTTGCAGTGAGCCAAGATCGCGCCACTGCACTCCAACCTGGCGCCTGGCGACAGAGCGAGACTCTGTCTCAAAAAAACAGAAAAACAAACAAAAAAAAGACACCTCATAATTTTACTCATAGCTCTATTCACAGCAACAAGGGAAATTACTGACACTACAGCATACAATCCACAAGCATTAAGAGTTAACTGCTTTTTTGTTGTTGTTTTGCGATGGAGTCTCACTCTGTTGCCCAGGCTAGAGGGCAATGGTGTCATCTTGGCTCACCGCAAACTCCACCACCCAAGTAGCTGGGACTATAGGAGTGCACCACCACACCCAGCTAATTTTTATATTTTTAGTAGAGATGGGGTTTTGCCATGTTGGCCAGACTGGTCTCAAACTCCTGATCTCAGGTGATCCACCTGCCTCAGCCTCCCAAAGTGCTGGGATTACAGGTGTGAGCCACTGCGTCCAGCCTACCTTTAACTTCTTCCATAGTCAGGACTTACAGTATCAAAATAATTTCTTTTTTTTTTTTTTTTTTCCAAGGGGAAGCCCCCCCCTTTAAACATACTCATCTGGCCCACCCTCATTTCAAATTCAGGTACAAATGGCCTCCCTGAGGCTTTAGGACTTGTTTTCTTCTTTTTCTTCTGACACTGTTTCCCAGATTGGCTCCTTGATGTGTTCTGGTAACTGTACTATTTGTGTCTTTGTTACTTCCATGGCAACTCCTTCAGGTAAGTTTCGCTGAATATATTCTAAGTAGACATCTGCTGTGCTTCCAGTTAGATGTTCTAACTCTAAACATCTGTAAAGTGTTCTCATTTCATACTGAACTCTGTGCTTCTTGTAAATATGCACCGATTTGAGAAGGGTAAATCGCTCTATTTTCCTTGGAGGTTTGTGTACTTTAATAGAGATACCAAGTTCTTTAGCAGCAAGCACAGCAAAATATTCATAGCTGTCCAATACAGCCCTATCGTGTCCTTTCACTAAAACCAACAGGCGCTTATATAATGTGTCTGGTTCATCAGAGATCCTTATCACAGGTTTGGTCAAATCCTTTGGAACATCAACATGTAGATTTGAAAACCGTACCCACTTCATACTGGTAAGAAGAAAGCCACCATTTTTGGCGGTACTGCCCTTATAACTGTTTACAGAAAAATTCTCCAATCCCTGCCAGAGGCGCTGGCACACGGCCCCGAGCGCTGTCCGCGCCGCCATCTTGCCGCTCCCCCAAAATAATTTCTTGATTTGATCAGCACTGCCTACAAAAAAAGGATGAAAAACAAAGCTCCTCTTTTCTCGTTCACTCTGCAAGAAGAATGTTATGTGAGCTATATGACAGGTACTGACTTTTCCAACAATGTCATTATTAAAACATCAGAAAACTCTATGACTTTTTCTTATCATAACTTTAAACCTGTAAAGCTATTTTGTGTTTCAATTCTATGAAACACTAAGATGAATCAGAATTCCTTTTTGAAATCAATGTAATTGCCAAAGAGTGGCAAGGATGATAAATAATTGGAACTTCATGAGATGAAAACCAATGCATATTACAAAGACACTTTCTGGTTGCTTGAGTGACTTGCACACAGGATTGATCGCACCTCAAAACTATCACAAAAAGAACGAAAGCAAATGGCAGGATACTCCTGTTTTCCTCACTAACAACTTTAATTCCTTACTATCTATAGTGATTACTAAATAACAGAGTTATGTGCTACTAATCTATGTACGATGTCAGAAATCATTAGCTGCTTTTTATTCCTAAATTAGGAACAAAATACTTGACAAATTTGTTTAAATTCCAAAGAAATCATTTGGCATAGGAATGACCATACAGTATATGCTTTCTTTCAGCCTGGGCATATTTAACTTTTTGCATTGACTAATACAACATACATTAAGTACATTTGCTTAGACTTCCACAGTTAAATGGACAATTCACTTTTTATAAGTGGAAAATCACTACAACCTCTGGTATTCACTGCAATATCAAATCAATGACTTCTTTCAGTATTTGTGGTGGCCATTTGTAATTCCTTTGTTAATTACCATGAATCTGCTTTCACTTAATGCTAAACTGCAATGCTAATATGAAAAGAAAATTAATGCCAGACACACAAGCAAAAGTAGCAAGTTGTTTCAGGGAAGGAATTTTAATAGAACTCATGAACTGAAATCTACGTCAAGCTAGAAACCATTTTATTTAATAAAATACCAGAAACTAAGTCACAAGAACAAAAATGAAACTTTTACATGGGTTTCAGATTCATATTCAAAATCTCATGAACTTCTGCTACTGCTTTTCAGAAAATGGTAATCTTGGCCAGATGCAGTGGCATATGCCTGTATCTGAGCACTTTGGGAGGCTGAGATGGGAGGACAGCTTGAGCTCCGGAATTCAAGACCAGCCTGGGCAACATGACAAAACCTCATCTGTATAAAAGTGCAAAAAGAAAAAAAAAATGGCTGAGCACAGTGGCTCATGCTTGTAATCCCAGCACTTTGGGAGGCCGAGGCAGGCAGATCACGAGGTCAGGAGTTCAAGACCAGCCTGGACAATATGGTGAAACCTTGTCTCTACTAAAAATACAAAAATTAGCTGGGCGTGGTAGTACATGCCTGTAGTTCCAGCTATTCAGGAAGCTGAGGCAGAAGAATTGCTTGAATCCGGGGGCAGAGCCGAGATTGTGTCACTGTACTCCGGCCTGGCAACAGAGCAAAACTTTGTCTCAAAATAAATAAATAAATAAAATAGCAGGGAGTAGTGACATGCCTCCAGCTACTCAGGAGGCTGACGTGAGAGGATCACTTGAAGCTGGGAGGTCGAGGCTGCAGGGAGCCATGATCTTGTCACTGCACTCCAGCCTGAGTGACAAAGTGAGACCTTGTCTCAAAAAACATTTCTTTTTTTTTTTTTTTTTTTTGGAGATGGAGTTTTCGCTCTTGTTACTCAGGCTGGAGTGCAATGGCGCGATCTCGGCTCACCGCAACCTCCGCCTCCTGGGTTCAGGCAATTCTCCTGCCTCAGCCTCCTGAGGCGCTGGGATTACAGGCACACGCCACCATGCCCAGCTGAATTTTTGTATTTTTAGTAGAGACAGGGTTTCACCATGTTGACCAGGATGGTCTCGATCTCTTGACCTTGTGATCCATCCGCCTCGGCCTCCCACAGTGCTGGGATTACAGGCGTGAGCCACCGCGCCCGGCCTTCAAAAAACATTTCTTCTTTTTAATTTAAAAAAATTAAAACAAATCTTGGCCACATCAAAAAAAACAGACTGTCAGCTGGGTATAGTGGTGCATGCCTGTAATCCTAGCACTTTGGGAGGCTGAGGTGGGAGGATTGCTTGAGCCCAGGAATTCAAGACCGGCCTGGGCAACAAGTTGAAACCCTGTCTCTAAAAAAAAAGCACAAAATTAGCTAGGCGTGGTGATACATTCCTGTAGTCCCAGCTACTCCGGAGGCTGAAGTGAGAGGATTGCTTGAGCCCAAGAGGTGGAGACTGCAGTGATCCAAGATCCCACAACTGTACTCCAGCCTGGGCAACAGAGCCAGACACTGTCTCCAAAAAAAAAAAAGAAAAGAAAACAGGCTGTCCTTTTAAAAATTTTTTTTTTTTTTTTTTTTTTTTTTTTTTGAGATGGAGTTTCGCTCGTTACCCAGGCTGGAGTGCAATGGCGCGATCTCGGCTCACCGCAACCTCCGTCTCCTGGGTTCAGGCAATTCTCCTGCCTCAGCCTCCTGAGTAGCTGGGATTACAGGCACGCGCCACCATGCCCAGCTAATTTTTTGTATTTTTAGTGGAGACGGGGTTTCACCATGCTGACCAGGATGGTCTCGATCTCTTGACCTCGTGATCCACCCGCCTCGGCCTCCCAAAGTGCTGGGATTACAGGCTTGAGCCAACGCACCCGGCACATCCTTTTAAAAATTTTTATCGTGTGCCCAGATATACAGAAATCACATGGAAATGTATCTCAATTATGAAGCAGCACAATCAGGATAGCTTATTATATACGTGTCTTAAAATATTTCTAAGTCACAAATTTTAGCTTTGATTATACAATTTACCATAAAGACATGAGAAAATTCGATGAAATAATCCCTTTGCAGTACTCTAATGATAATGTGTTACATGTATAGAAGAAAAGGATACAACAGAGATACCTGTCTATCATTTTGACTGTAGTGTAACAGCTCTGAAATAATACTCAGCCTAATAGTATACTTGTCCAGATCTGTTTCTTCCTGCCTCCCCTGCCTACTTTGAAAACATATAATGAAACACATCATCACATGAAGCCCTATGATCACAGTTCTTCCCAACCCCAATCTTTCCTATTTGCAACTTAGGTCTTTCTCTGTGATGTTACTCCTTGACATGTCACACACTTAAAAAGTGATTACATACCCTTTACCCTTCAAATCACCTCCAGGGAAACTTCTCTTATGCTGACTTTACTTTGGTCACTCTTGATCTCCTGAGAATATACTAACTAATATCAATATCACTTTGCATTTGCTAATAATCATGTTAATTCAGCATCAGTATTTTGAAACTAGTATAGCCCTGATTCTAATCTTCTTCACCTATCACACTATGAGACAGGGAAGAGTGATGATTTTGCATTAGTTTCAGTATCCTACGCCAACTGATATGAATTTTCATATCCTGTGGCATTTCTTCCAAATTACAGAAAAGAGACACAGGAAAAAATGTTTAGAACACTTACCCATATGTCATACCTGACATACCTGCATTACATTGCCAACTCAATTACATACAGAAAATATACCAATATGGCCAGGTGCAGTGGCTCATGCCTGTAATCCCAGCACTTTGGGAGGCCGAGGTGGGCGGATCATGAGGTCAAGAGACTGAGACCATCCTGGCCAACACGGTGAAACCCCATCTCTACAAAAATTATCTGGGTGTGGTGGCACTTGCCTGTAGTCCCAGCTACTTGGGAGGCTAAGGCAGGAGAATGGCTTGAACCTGGGAGGTGGAGGCTGCAGTGAGCCAAGATCATGCCACAACACTCCAGCCTGGCAACACAGCAAGACTCTTTGTCTCTTAAAAAAAAAAAAAAAAAAAAAGGAAATATACTAACATGTTTCTGTGACCTAAATATCTTAAAACTACCAACCTCTTCACTTAATAGTCTCCACTAAGAATTTCCTGAGGGTCACATCCTGGTTCATATAGGAAACACAAAGAGGAATCCTACAAACATAGTGCGTAAATGTAATACATGACCAGCTTATTGCTATTTACCATTATGATTACTTACATAGATTACAGAAAGTTCTTGGGCAATTTCTGTATTTTTATCATGACCTTTTAAGATAGCATGTCTTGTTTCTCTTATCAACTTATCACTCACTGATCTATTACTATAGTTCCTTTTCATTAGAAATAAAATGCAGAGCCGGGCGCGGTGGCTCAAGCCTGTAATCCCAGCACTTTGGGAGGCCGAGGCGGGTGGATCACAACGTCAAGAGATCGAGACCATCCTGGTCAACACGGTGAAACCCCGTCTCTACTAAAGCTACAAAAAATTAGCTGGGCATGGTGGCGCGTGCCTGTAATCCCAGCTGCTCAGGAGGCTGAGGCAGGAGAATTGCCTGAACCCAGGAGGCGGAGGTTGCGGTGAGCCGAGATTGTGCCATTGCACTCCAGCCTGGGTAACAAGAGCGAAACTCCGTCTCCAAAAAAAAAAAAAAAAAGAAATAAAATGCAGAGAATATTCAGAATGCAAATCATCAGTCCTCTGCAGGTACATATACTAAAGAACATTTCCTCACTAGCATCCAGCTGCATCACTAATAATAGCTGCAAAACCATAAAATGCTAAGCATTGTATCTTAATGGCACTGTATAGCTAGCTGTACATCACTGAACAAACAAAACTTTCTTTAATAAACCTGCAATCCAAAGTGTTGATTATCTTAAGTTACATTATATATTTTTATTTTCCATTAGTTTGTGTAACACTTCAATCTGTGAACAAATATATCTTAATCGGATAAATGCTGGCAGAAGTAATATCTCATTCAGAAATTGAAGTCAAATTCCTAAACAAGTAGTTAAAACTCTTAAAACATTTTTAAAAGAAATGCATCAGCTTAGATTACAAACATTTCCCAAGATTTAAAAAAAAAAAAAAAGGCTAGACAAAAGAATGTCTAAACTAAAACAGTTAACAATCTATCCTCTATGACACAATGTAACTTATCACTGTTGAAAGCCTCCCTAGAAGCCCTTGGGAGACCAGAAAGAAACAGATCTGGACAAAACTCAACAGACTAAAAATTGGAATTGTACCACTTTTCTAAAAGCTCCCTTGTTCTTTGTCACCTATAAGTTTATCCTCCATATTTGATGACTCAATTACAGCTATATAAAATATATAATTGCCAGCAGCAAACAGAATGGTCATGAGCTCAAGTTCAAGAGTCCAAAAGGCAGTATGAATCTAGGCTCTGCCACTTAACAGATGTGTGTACGTGGCTAAGTTACTTAATTCTGTGTCTCAGCTGAAAACACCAGTAACAACAGTACCTACCTCCTAGGGTTATAGTGAAGACGCTAAGATAAGACACATAAGGCCTGTGGAATAGGACCTGTTTGTTATTATAACAAAGTTACCAATTAAAAAAAAAAATGTTAGGTACCTGATAATGATTAATCTCTATATTTTTGAGTGCTTCAGGTGGCATCCACTGTTAAATATAACTTTTCATATTATACAAAATACCTTTGAAACTTCAGGTATTCACAAATTGTACTAGCCCAACTCCCTGACTCCATGTTAATTTCAAGAGACATCAAACTCTCCAAAATTTGCACTTGATGAACTGGTAACGAGTGAAGTTCTACAACTTTAAATCACCCTGCCAAATTAGAGGCAAAGAAAATGACAGTCATCTTGAACTTACCAGAAAAGATGAACAGGGAAATGTCTAGTGCTACAAGATCTGTTGAAAACAACAAGATCTAGCCACTAGGTTTGGAAACCTACTACGGATTTGTTTTCAAGTACAGTCAGTGGCTTCACCTCATTTATCACTTAAAACCTTAAAAGGAGGCCACGTTTAATTTTGTTTCAGATACATTATTCACAGAAGCATCCCATTACATTACATTCTCTCACCAATAACTTTTAATCAAAAGACATCATTAATGAAAATCAATCTGTATTTTTCCCTTTATTAAAACATCCAGAAAAATACCACTTGATTTTTAAATAAATGCATTTCAGAAATCTTAACACAATTTATAAAAGTTTTAACAACTTACAACTGTCTAAAAAGGTTTCCATTCTTAATACCCTATTTACCCATAATTCTAGGACATCTGAATTTTAAAAACC